GTTTCGTATTTGAACCTATGACGAAAATATGTGACAAGCGCCATCGAATAGTCATCGACAAAATTTGTGTAACGCCAATATAGGACGTAAAGAAGAAAAATCTCATACTAATTTTGATATGATTAGCGATGACGATGCGATGGCCAATTTCACAAATATTCGTAATAAGCCCACTGGACAAAATAGGTATTTTAGATTATTTTATTTCTTCATTACTCAAGATAAAATTAATATCCACTGTTACTATCTTCCAATATCTATTAACAATCAAGGAACAACTAGTGCATTTACACTATTAAAAGAGAGCAACAGTGCCGCGCTTTATATGTTAAAATACCAGTAATACCAGTCCTGTTCAGATCGCAACCAATAATGAAAAGATAGTAACGTTACCGTCTTGTCTCGATACGCCCTCTATTTACATCTCGGCGAGATAATAAATTTGCATGTAGTAGCGCGGCCTTACCTGAGCTTTTATCACGGACATAGCTACCTCCCGCGTCGCGGGAAGGGTTGCCGATGTCGTCGACAATCGTAAACGTTATTTATAACCCGACCGCTATACTGTAGCTGCGACTTCGCTCTTCGCCGCCTCATTTGCATAGAAATTTATAGGTGGCAGTAGCTATGATCGTACCCTTGCCCGCTTCCGCGTCTGCCACGGGGAGATTCGGGTGTCGGTGATAGAACCCAGACTAAATACTGTGGGGTGAATTAGATATTCAAATTGTAAGGCAAACTAATTTGTAGCTTTGTATTTCGACGTAGTTTTTATAGTCAGTAGACAAATTAAAATAGCTAAAGTACCCTTGAAACTAAAGGAATGAATTTTAAGTTTAACTAGCTTACGGTATAGCTATGAAGTCTAATTAGTATATGTCTAAAGGAAATACCATAGAAAATATATCATTTTTAAAGATTTGCGAGGCAGGAATTTGCACAGTTATAAAATCAAAACACAAAGATTGTGCTCATAATTTTAAGTTAAGTAGCATTGAAAAATAGGAAATATCACCTTCAGAACAATTCTTTGTCATAGATGGAAACTAAAATTAAGGCATTAAACAATAAATAAAATCATTACGCAGTCGTTTCTGAGACGTTGTGCCGTCACCGACGGAACACAGATTCCGAAACCTAATTCAATTTAGCCAAAGGGTTGTCAGTTACGCGGAACGCGGAAAAAAGCGTGGCGAGGAAAGGGCGAGGGAAGTCAGAGACATCTGGGGGCGGCGTCTGTCAACTGGCGTGCGGAGAACCTTGGTCGCTGTAATTGATGCGTTGCGGGTCGCAACAGCTTTCTACATGTCGGAAGGGAATGAGTTTTTTTGTTTTCGATCAATATTCAGTGTCACTTACCCCGTACTGATGTGTCACTGAATAATCCACAGATTCGTTATTCAACGCGAATGGATTTGTATTATCGAGGGTCAGAATCTTTTTATATCTTACTAATATTATAAATGTGAAAGTTGGATGGATATATGTTACATCGTATCTCCGGAAAGGCTCAAGGGATCTTGATGAAATTTGGCTAAGATGTAAAACATATTCTGGAAGAACACATAGGCTATTAAGTTTTTTTTTTATTTTCATGCGGACGGAGTCGCTGGCGACAATTATAGTTTAATAAACGAAGCAACCAACTAGCAAAGCGCTGTGCGGTTACAGAATATGACGTCATATTTTATGAATAAGTGTTTACTTACTAATATTCCTGAGATTGAAACGGAACAAAAAAAAACGAAGTTGTCCCGATTCACAAACGTTATTTAGCATTTTTATTTCGTACCATCTAAGCATTTCGTTTCTCACGATTGACTCGTCAAAATTGCAGACATAAAAGAAAATTAGGCGCGATATTACTTTAAAAAATGTCGTGCGGGGGTTGGCAGTTGCCACACGACAAAAGCAAATGCATCGAGGCCGTCGTTTCTCACCAGACGTCAAAACTTTTAAAAAAGTCACCCGCGACTTATCCCTGACTATAATTAAGGTTTTCTTCTTTATCTTTTTGCATTTGAAGTTAGATTAGGAATGAAATATTGCATTTCTTTATTATTTGTAGGGAGGAAATATTATTTATAGTTGTATAAGCAATAACATCAAAAATATTTATTTCCCTTCATAGTCTTTGCATTTATAAAAGAACTTTCTTAATTTCATCGCGGTTTTTAGTCATTACACAGTTTAAATATAAATAAGACTTCTTATTAAATAAATGTATATGTACGTAATTGATTTGAAAAGTTTTCACGACCATGTAAACGACAATATATTTTTTCTAACTGTTGTATTCAGACATCTTATAAATTATTTGTTGAATTAATCGACGCAATAAAATTATTGAATAAAGGAACTTTTCGGTATAATAAGTTTATGAAACACTTTTTGCAATTGTTTAGTTGTTTCTTTATGGTTTCTTACTTAGGAAGATTGTACACTAACCAAAAGAAATCTTAGTAGTAAATGAGTAAAATAATCTATATATATAAAAGAAAGTCGTTTTAGTTACACTATCTATAACTCAAGAACGGCTTCACCGATATGGCTGAAAATTGGCGAGGAGGTAGCTTAGAGCCAGGAGACGGACATAGGATTGTATTTATTCTTTTTTTCGAATTTATGCCTTGAAGAGCTGCTTTTATTTAACTTATCTATAAATTAAGTTTTTTTATATATCCACGCGGACGGAGTCGCGGGCGACAGCTGTTTTATGGTAAAATTGTTGCGTATAAAAAGAAAATGCCATAAAATTATGTTTTAAATTTACTATATTTACAAAAACAATGTTATCGTAAGAAATCTAATAAATGAACGAAAGTGTAATAATTTTTATTTTTTATTATAATTATAATTTAATATAAAGTATAGTCGAAAATATACGCAAACAAAATATTTTATTGAACAGTGAAAATGTGATACGAATACACAGTGAAAACGGGTCTTAAGATCAATTTTTCGGTGTCACAAGTTGCGACTTTTTGACTTCCGAGGTCAAATGACGCAAAGTTACGAGTTTTGCAAACTTTACACGCGCCGTGATTTCACATCGTTGTGAAGGAAATTCTATAAATTTATTTTAAGAATGTAAGTAAAGTGTTAAAGTACACAGTTACACAAAAGGATTTGTTAAATTTTTATATACAAATAATAAATCTAACTAATATTATAATATAAATGAGAATGTTTACATAAATGGATGTCTGTTTGAAGATATCTCCAGAACGGCTGCACGGATCTTGCTGAAATTTGGCATAGATGTAAAACATAATCTGGAAGAACACATAGACTACTAATAAAGTTTTTTTCTCAACGTGGACGGAGTCGCGAGCGACAGCTAGTAAGTGAATTAAAATTTATTTGTTGTCATCATAAAGAAAATGCAATATAAATAAGTAATAATACAAAAAATATGATAACAATGGGCTGCAAGCTCAACGTGTATCGCATGGCTTAGCTATGCAGAGCTGGTTTTCAGCATGTCGCCGTGGGCATTGCGCCTGTTCAAAGGTTTACAATCAGCTCGTTTACAACCACTAGGAAGATTCCTATGTCTATTTACGGTGATATCGAAAAAGAAACTTTATGAGTAATTTTTTGGTCTGACATGAAATTATTATTAGTTCTCAACCATCGTATCAGTAAGACCGTGAAATAAAAACCTTGACAAAAAATCGAGGTAGGCATCAAAAGCAATCTGTACCGACTTAATCGATATCGATAAGTAAAATCAGATAACTAAAAACATTGAAAATATCGGTAACGTCCTTATACCTTACGAGCGAGGTTGCATGCGGCAAATGCATTCAGTATAGGCTGAGCGCAATTTTCGTGTTAGGCTGTTTGCCGATTGTCGTGCGACAGTTTTTGTATGATTTATAAGTAGCTTGTCTTCTTTGTCCCGAGTTGGACACGCGAACACTTGTGATCAATTGTCGCTCGTTGCGGTAGACCTACGTAGCTTAATCTTCTGTCAGTGTTTACTTTGTAATACTAGGGTTGACAATTGACTACACACTCAAAACACAACTATAGTGTGTTTATTTAAGATAGCTCAGTTTGACAACTGTCGCCTATAAAGTATCGAATTAATTTTGTATGATGATTAATGTTGTACTTCTTAGATGGTTGTCATAGTGTCGGACCGTGCGCCCTTAACGAACAACTATGAACTATCGAGAATCGGTCTTGTAATAATATTAATCGAATAAATAAATACTATAACTTAGCTATGCTATTACTTTTTGAATTTATTACGGATATTTAGCTATATCTCGCGCAATTAACTAAAAAAAAATTCTACGTAGTTTCGAAGAATAAAGTTGGCACACAAAGAAATATTTTTTTTATATTGTAAATAAAAAATAATAGTCACAAAACTCGATTGCATGTTCTATGAAAACAAACATCGAAAATCGAAAATTTACATATCCAATTTTACTCAACCCATCCCTAGTTAAATGTCAAACAAATCTATCTTAAATAGACACTCTATATGACACTCTTTATAAATAGTTCTTATATACAAAGTCTTTATCTATGACAGTATCAAGATATGATAATATCATAATTACACCAAACTAACATAAAAACATATATTGCGTAACTAATATCTTATTCAAAAAACTAGTTTTGCCCATGACTGCATTTGCACAAATTAAAAAAGGTTGTAGTGATTTACTCAATATGTACTTTATCTATATAAAATGTCAAAATATTGAGCCGTTGTGGAGTTTTCAAGTAAATACAAGATTCAAACATATTTCACAGTAACCATATGCATTACCAGGATACTATTTATCTTATGTGTACTTCCACACTGTTCTACATCTATACCAAATTTCACAAAGATTTATCAAGTCATTCTGGAGATACCTTCTAACAAAGGTATTTTCATATGGACCATGTAAACTGTCCTATTTATAATATTAGTAAGGCTGACTGTACCTTACATTTCATAAAGTCAAAGCAGATAAAATAAATTTGTTCCTACTTACTAGTTTCATGACGAACCCAGGCCAGCGCACCACATAACAGTGCCAATGTTTTGCCGGATCCAGTAGGACTTTCCAGTAAACAGTTTTGGCTTTTATTTATTGCAGTTATCACCTTAAATAAATTCATAATTTGTAATTACTGGTATTAATAAATTTAGAATTTTCAGAATGTAAGAAACTATAGTTTATTTGATACGATATCAAACTACAATCTTTCATTCTTCGTCTTCCAATATGTATGTCTATGTGTACATGATATAATTTGGGAAAAGTATCTTAAACAGAGACACAAATAAGCTTGTGCTTATGTATTTATTGTAATCAGAGGAGATGATTCATTTATGTATATTTAATATGTCAACACATTAAATCTATACAAGTTTTTAATTATAACTAAATAAACCATAGTTATATTTGATTTCATCTTCCTTCTTATTATATTAATAATGCGAACAACACAAGTTGTTAGTAAATATATTTTATGGCTTCAGATTTAAAGAAATAATAATATTCACCTTAAACATTAAAGCAGTCTGACAACCGTAGGGTTTAACTGGTATATGAACTTTAATGCCACCAATCATTTGTTCAAACCCTTTAGGCTTAGGTGTTTGTGGAGCTATTTGTGTATTTCCCTTGATGATTGGCTTGGTATTGGGAAATAGATTTTTAATAAGTGCCTGCTTCTTTTTTTGTAACTCGACTGTATCTGACGGTTCTTCTTCATCGGAAGTAAGTTCATATATTATAGCTGGGCCTTGATTTTCATCATCGCTGCTAATACTAATTGAACGCAATGGTAACGTCTTTTCTTCAACTTCATCATTTAGTACAAAACTATCATCATCTTCTGATAGTTCTGCGTACGACATTATATTAAGTTTTTAAGAAATTTATCAAGAAATACCAATACAACGTTTGAAAAAGTTTGTAACACAATTATTTTACGAATAGTTCTCGTATACATTAAATATATTTATGCTTATAATACGCTTTATTATGGTTTTCAATTATTTTTCTCAAAATAATACTGTATTTAAACGTAATAAATTATAAAATAAACATTTCCGGGAAAACGGTTTTCGAGCTTTGTTTTGTTTTGACGTTTAACATGACATTGACATGTTTCGTTCGAAAACTAGATGAATCCAATTCCAATCGTGTCGTTTTATGTGCCTTATACAAATATAAACTACAACCCGCAGTGGGATAAAGTTAACAGACTCATTGAGCAAGCCGAAAATGAAAGTAAATTACTAATTCCAATTTTGTTGTGTGATTGAGACTTTTCCTGCCTAAATCAAAGTTATATTTTATAGCAGAATTAACCGCGATACCAGCGCCCCTCTCGTTATGGAAGTAAAAGTTTTACATGGATGTAAGGGGAAAAGTTGAAGCCAAGAAAGCCTATAAAAGAACCGTGAAATCATAAATTAAAACAATAAGATCAAGGTAGTGTTTATTTCAATTTAACATTTTAATTGTTTGATATATATTCGTAATAATTCTTCTTTATCCAAAAGAATTATCTGAAATAAAGATTTAATAGTAAACATATTTTATTAAGTTGCAAATAATATGGTAGATAATTTGGAATTCCAAATCGATTAAATCCTGGTATCGTACATCTTTATCTAATATGTGTATGATTGTTTTCTTTGGATATCCAAAACCCTTTCTTAAAATTTAGTTATCTTTTACCTGTTTTGCAGTGTGTTTAGAGTTTATTTTATTTAGGGTTTTGCAAACATGTAGGAAAACATAGTTAGAGCTACTGCCCACGCAAGCCAACACATTTTTATATTTACTTGTTTTAATTTAGTTGAATTTACTAAAATTTTGCTTTCAAATCACTAAAACAGCACGAATTAATTTTGACTTTGACGGAGAGTTATAAAATCAGAAAAAAATATTCGGCTGCCAGTGTTACAGAAAGACCAACTGTCTGATAAGCAAACAGTGAAAAACCTCCATGGTTAATTACCATAAAAGTAGGAATGTATATTCAACAGCTCATATTTTAAAATTATATTACATATTTAAGAGTGTTAAATAAGTACATCAATTTATTACAAAGTAGATCACATATAAAATGTGACAAAATGAATAAATGTGTTTTATTGTTCATCCCCCATTAACGTTTTGGTGCTGCATGCTCCCGCTTCCCGCCAAAATGCGGCGCCATTACACGAGTGACTTGTCTGCGAAAGTTATGGTGCGTTATAATTTGGTTTATAACCTGACACCACGCTGTTTAGCCAACGCAATTAGATCGAGTCAAGTATAATATAATAATAATAATTGAAAATAGCAATTTCAATAACAGAATGCTTAACTGTATTTAAAAATTATTACCTTCTCGAAATCCGTAATTACAACTTATAGTTAATAAGTCTTTTCTAGATCTTTTAGATCCTGGTGCTTCTTTTCCACTACGAAGTTTATACTCCGGATTGTACCTACCTTCGTAAAATATGACTTTTAAAAACAATTAAGATCCAAATATATATCCATTCAGTATTACACGCATCCAAATGTGGGCCGTGTCACAAAAGCTTTAAGATATCATGTTACTTCTTCGAAAGTTTCCGGAAATTTTTGTCAATTGAAATTCAATCAAGCGCTAAAACGGCTTGACCCGTTACGCCCGACGTCAGCCTAATACCTCCACGAAACTTAAGAAGCCTCTAATTAACTTTAATCTGCTTTAATCTTATCTTTGGTGTCGATATGGAAATTATCATCAACAAAAGTGGAACTGCCATTCGTCACCTAAATATTTTTACAATACATTTTCATTTCGCGTTGTAAAAAACTTAAAATTTGACAATAGATATCAGGCCTTATTTATGTGGTTATTAAGGAATTAGAGAAGTTATTTGTTAATAAATTAAAACTTATTTATTATATTAAAAAATAATTCAATTTAACAAAGAATATTTTTCAAACTATAAAAGCAACATAACAAAACAAAATATGCATCTTTATTCAAGGATGTCACCCCAGTTTTCGGGCCATTCAACAGTTTACGTCCGCCTTTTAATACGATTCTAACAAATTGGTATACGTCGTAAATTATAGTGTGAAGACACGGCCCTTGTTGTCCCCTTTAGCTTCATAAATGTGTTCATATTACGATATAATAAATTACTATAAACGTTTAAAGCGTCCGTTGACATTGCTAGCTGGTTATTACAAAAAAAAGCTACAATCACAAGGGCGTCGCGGGCCGATGGTCTAGACTACATCCAGAGGGCTAGGAGTAAGAATTCTTTTTTTTTTTCTAAAGGAAAGTTATAGTTCTTAAGTTAGTATTTGACAATTTTACAATGAAGAAATACAGATAATAAGAAAAGGTATTTAAAAATAGGCGTGTAATTCAGAAGCTTAAAATTGTGAATCTGTGAGTATAAAAGTATTCAAGTCTTACAAAGGCTTTGAAGCGCGATTAAAGTTTGTCATAAAATTAGTTAATAGTAAAGTAGGCATCAACTGCCTATGCCTAACTTTGGCGTCAAAACAGTGGCTCGTCCCTACCAATTATTGACATGCTTTATTACTCCTCTATCTAAGGCGCGCTTTTATCAGCGTATGTCGCTTCACCCGATACGACATAACACATATACTATTTCAATTAATAAACACTAATTTGAACCTTATCACATACGCATAAGAACTTGTCTATATGTATATGTTTAGTTTGTCAGCCAATAGTTGCGTTTCTACTTAATTTGATGGAAAAAGTTTTGGTATCGAAGTCATTTATGCTAGACATTATCAGCAGGGGTTCGCGTGGAATTCAGACGGTCAATGAGCTGCTAAGATTGATATCTCAGAGAGCGAAATGTGTTTTTGTTGTTGCAAACATAGTTTATTGTAGCGGACACTACATGATCTGTTAACTTGGCAGTTAATCTAAAAGGATATTGCCAATAAAAATGCAGAGGAAGTAATTAAAATGGATCTAATTCGGAATCAGAATCAGTAACATCTGTTATTTTTAGCCGACTTCTTGTCAAGTTATAATTATTACATGAGCCTTACTATTACGGCTACTAATTATGTTTGGTTTTAATTCCAAACAGACGATGTCGCGGGCGGCCGCTAGTATACAATATGGAAGATTTAAAGTTATTAAAATCGCGTGCGATAATACAAAATGCTTATGCAGTCTTACTTGAAATATCATTAAATGTTACTAGTTCAGTAATCACGTAAATAACCTATAAGTATTGTTTAAAATAAAAGCGAAATGGTGATAGATAAATTATTCAAGTCCGTTAGCGCGGGAGTCGTGTGACCAGTGCGGGCTCGCAATCAGTCGATTCAGTTTGCGCATCCGACCATACGTCTCGTGTCTCCCCTTCGTCGCCTGCTGCCTGCTGTCATCCTGCTCAATTTTTTTTATTTTTCTTTATAATGTGATATACTTTTATTTACACAAGTCTCTGATAATTAAAAGGATGTTACAAACTTTTTTGGAATGTCATAGGAACTTTCTGGCCTTCTTCTTAATAATTAGATCTGATTTTTATTGCATAACAATAGGTTAGATAAATTATTTTCTTTATAGATAAGAAATCGTTAGACGCGTGACTACAGCACACACTTATTAAAAAAAAGTTATTAATTAAAAAGTTTTTTATCAGTAACGTCTGTTGTTTTTGACAGATTATAATAATATTATTTTTTAAATCTGTCAAAAATCTTATATCCTTCTAAAAGATGTTGTATAAATTACAGTAAATCTACATTTATTTAATACTGGAATTTTCGATGGTTTTGAGAATGGTATCGTTAGATAAATAAGGTTAGTTGGTGGTCATAGTCATAGACAATTCACGACACTGCAGTAATTAACATCAAAAGTATTTAAACAGGTGTTGTTAAAAGGTTCTCCCAATATTCTTTTTGACATACAGTATGTTTAAAAATCTACAACGAAACTTACATTTAATTTAATATTTTTTATCTGTACATTTTTTAAAATCTGTCATCACTATATTGTCTATTGAATTGTCATCAACATCATTACAATCTGAAAACAAAGTTCTAATTCAAGTGAGATTTTTTATTTCATAAGTAAGCTAATAATAAAATTAAGTTATCAATCAGCTGATTACATAAATGGAACTTAATTAGACGGTAAGTTAACAAATATAATAATTTGGTTATTAATTGGAAAGTAGATAATGATTTTAGTTAATTTAAGAGTGTTACGTATTTAGTGTTGTTATAAGAATAGTCAAAGTTCAAATGGATGATTAAACATTATTTTCCAGACGAATAAGATGCATTCGCTCCCCTTTTCATCTGTTGGTGACAAATGTCGTAAACAGGATCGATTTCTGCCGACGATATTTATTGTTAGTTTATTTAATTACTTTCCTACATTCAGAAACACAATATGTTTAGAAAAATTAAATACGTATATGTCATTTGTGTGAAGTGCATATTGAATTTTCCTATCGCCTAATAAAATCTTTAGGTACCCTCCAAGTTGACATTAGTTTTTATTTTGATAGAAGATGAACGTTCAAACAGTTAGAATCAGTTAATTATTATTTTAATTCAAGTCAAGTTATTTGTTGTTCAAATGTTTATTGATTCGTTTTTGTTTTTCAGATATGTTATTTATTTCTCATCGACATCATCATCATCAACATCGAAGGCGCTACAACTATTCTCTGGATAAAATTGACTAGTGATTAAATAAAATAAGGTAATCACGTTTTTAATTATATGCTAAAATTAAAAAAAAAATTGGAACAATACGGGAACAGTAGATAAAAACATCGCGAAGATTTTTTTTAATAAACAATTATTTTTTTAATCGTAAAGAGGTCGTATATCGAAAAATAAAAATGAATAAAGTTTATTTTGAAATTCGAACACCATTAATTTAAAATTGGCATGCATTGTAGCGTTCTATCAGTAAAAAGTTGCACTAACAGTTCCCAGTAGTGTTAATGTGAAGTCGGAATGCCTATCGAGGCTTGAAATATGCTGTACCGGATATATTTATGTGAAGTCTGACGGCATCCGCACCTGCTCTAGTCCGTGAGGTCCAACAAATACGATGCAATTTATAGTGCACTCGTTTTAATTGCTTATAGCCATATTACATTACAAGGCAATTATTATTTTTGATATTTAAACATATTCGTACTAAGGTTAGTAATTGAATTAATAGACAACAGACGAAATACTTTATCGTTCTTTCCGTATATTTTATATTAAATTAATTAATCGTTTTAATTAAATTAAGTAAATAATTCATGAACAGCATATATTATAAGGGATTAGACCTTGTTTTCATTTAATACGTAATTTTTTTACTTAATTATTTAATTACTGGGAAATTTATAAAACTGTGTTCTGAACCGGTTGACCCTTTGTGACAACTAATTTTTGTAGATATTGATGGCCTGTAGTCTCAGATCGGTTATTAATCACTTAATAAAATCTACAAGGTTACCAGGTCACCAGGCGGTTATTTGAACGTTGTTAGTTTGACTTTCAGTGGTCTATTTAGTAACAGACGCATTATCTTGCACACGAATATTTCATTTTTGACTTACCACCACTTTCCATGCCTTGAATGATGTCTGTCATTTTTTTCGGGAAATAAATCTCAAACGAGTCCGCCCCTGTTGGAACAGCAAAAGACAATCACAAGCTCATTACTCGAGCAACGCCGGCTCACGCGACCCGTTCTATCATTTTTGACAATTTTTATACTGTGATGTTGCTGCGTTCATTTTTTTAAAGGCCGACCGACTAAATGTCCCGTTTATGTGATCATTTATTAAAAAAGTTTTTCCATTTCCCTAACATGATAACTTGTGTGTTATAATGACTCGTTATTATCATTAGGTATCTTTTTGACCCAAATATAAGCAAAGTGCTCTGATGTTTAGGGGTTAACACAGTCAAAAATATTGCCTATTTTATAGAGGAATATGTTAGCATTTTTCGCTTTAATTTCTGGTCGATCATAAACATAGGGCCTTTGTTTAGACACGTGTACTTGTATTCGACCCACAACTTGAATGGTTTAAATGTAGGCAATATTTTAAGGTCCGCATGTCCGGGAATAACGCCCCCAGTGTCGACTCGCAATCGGAAAGCCATTACAGCGACAGTTCACTATCTCCGCCTTTATGGACACAAGTCACGGAAACTTCTCGCTTTTGTTTTCTTAAATGGGGTGCGTTGATTAAACATGTATAGTATAGGCAAGCCTGAACAATTTGTTTATGTATTTTGATTTTTAGAAACTAAACACCGATGAGGTTTCAAACGTTAAGACAGATATTACTTATTTTATTCTTACTTAGTTTATTCGAATTTGCGTTTGAACTGTTTTTTTTGTAAAAGTATTTGGTCAAATTGACCATACTCTTTCTGTGAATATTTACAAATAAAAATACCTACAACTAATATAAACGGTAATTATGTTACGTTAATCGATCTGTTGTTTTAAAATTACAAAGTTTCAATGAAATGTCAAACGTGTATTTACTGTACAGGATGTGACAAAAAGTGATGCGCGAGCGGGGCGTTGGCGTTGTTATGAATGCGTTAGGGTCCGGCGTCTTGGCATCAGCTGCCAATGGAGATGTTAACACGCTGTTATTGCAGGCTTCGCTTTAATCGTTCCTAGACTCGGCTTACACGCTGCGGGAAAATTTAAAATATTTTTATTTCTTTTTAAATCATATTCGAAGAAACTGGTTTTAAATGATTTAAGTGTCCCACTCAAAGTCTGTTGGCACTAAAGAGCCGCTTAGTGTAGATTAAGTTTAACAAGTTTTAACCGTCATTTGTTTAACTGTAAAGTGTCTTACGGTATTTTTGGAGTAATACAAATAGGATTTAATAGTTTATTTTATGCTGAAATTACTTAAGAGATATTTTTATCTACTATCGAATATACAAGCCTACAAACATTATGTACATTTAAAAATTACAAGTGTGTGTTACCGGCATGTAAGCCGAACGTTAAAAATAACACTGTCAACTGTAACCAGGTGTTGTAATGTCATTAATATCAATTGAACATTGACCATACGCCACTCAACGACCAGGATAACTTGATACCTCGCTCCCCTACACCCTTTAGTTTTAACAGACACATGGGGGAAATTCTATAAAAGGTCGTAGTTCAAGCTTACTTAGCTACCAAATATTTTATGAGGCGATTTCTTTTACGTTAAGATTAATGTGATTTGGTTTGAGTAACTTTGTTTTTATTGTGTATTTTAACTTACTGTTAAAATAATTATTAATTCATTGAATATTGATATTGCTTCAATAAACATTGTAATAGCAAATTACAGGCAATAAAAGAATATTGTATACAGTTTTAATAAGATACATGACATTTTGTTTTTAAATAAAATGTCCCATAGCACGATCTCAAGCAACATTTAAATTTACTGCGTTCAATTTTCTAAGACGTTATAAAGTACCTTGTCACATTAGAAACTGTCGGAGTTCATAATTTAAAGGTGACATACAAAAGTACAAACATAGGCGAAATCACATGGTGACATGAGCACGGTGATTACAAGTAGAGTGATCGGTTCACGCCGTCCGGCACAGGCTCATTCCATCACCGCGGAGCAGTTCACTCGAGCCATTCGTTCCACCGCTGTCCGAGGCATCGGGGCGCAAGAGTCAATAAGGGCTGCAAACGGGGGATGTTTGTCGAGATCCGTTCGCCCGCTCAATTATATTAAGATTACATATTTATCTCCTGAGACGGACGCTTTTCTTATAGGGGTTAGATCGTGGATCATTCTAGAGTTGTGTTATTTAAAACTGATAAAAATTTGAATATTCAATATACAATAATAATTTTAGAGAGTCGTTTAGTTAGTTATAGATCGATTTTTTTTATAGGAGGAAGGGGCAAATGAGCGGCGGGAACATCGATGTGATCAACGACACCCATCACAGATCTGCAACACCAGAGGAACTGCAGATGCGTTGCCGGCCTTTAAGGAAATGGTATGTTCGCTTCTTGAAGGACCCTAAGTTAAGACTTATGCCGCGTTATGGAACGGTCGAACGATACGTCGTTCGACCGTCCCATAAGGCGGCTGTGCGAGGCAAGAAATTGCGCGAGAATTGAACCGTTAGATATTAAATTCCATTCCCAGGCTTAGTTTTATCATCTCTATGAATTCCCGATGCAGTCCGAGCATTTGATCCCCAATATTGATTCCGGGATCAGCGCGACTCCCGACTGATCTTATCATTAAAGCAAATGCTTTGTTGTTCCTTCTCTTATAGGATTTGTATAGTTGTAAACTTGATTTGCGGTTAACTTTTATCGATTGTGAACTTTGTTTAAACTTTCTTAATATAGTTAAAGATAATAAAATAATTTATTATTTATTTTTAGAAAGTTTTTAGTTTAGTAGTTTAGTTTTAGTAGGACATTTAGTTTATTGTAAGAGATTTATATAGTTTCAAACAAAGCCAAACACAATGTTTATAAGTTTTTATGTTTAAAACAATTTATTTAGTGTGTATCCAATTTACGAGTAAAAAGAACCTTGATTTTGTCATATAGCATAAAAAAAGAAAAAAGGTAATTTGGTTCCCGTAGCTAGTGTTTAAGTGGTTAATGCAGGCAAATAATAAGCGAGGCGATGTCGTCACGGCGGTTACCTTTGATGTGTGGGTGTGTGTGATTTTACAATTATATCACTCAGCCGTTTAACGGCGGAAGTGTTTTGATGTGGGGTCAATGACCTTCCCCTGTGAATATTGACTCCACATCCTTTGATATTCCAATTTTACTTTTTAAATGCGTACGTAGGTTAAATACATAACCACCGTACCACTTTTTCACGACTAACAGAACAAATAGGCAAACATTAATACAAAAAAAAACTTCTTAGTGTAGATTTCTCGTAATTAACCTATTCTAAGGATCTTCCCAAATTACTGATTTAAGGCCCTACACGAAACATTGTTACAATATGACTTAAGTTAATTAAGATGTTAATACTGTCAGTTCATTAAGATTTATTATTTTAGTACTCATAAACAATGCAGTTTTTAACATTGTCTTTATATAAAACACATCGTCATCCCTGTCTTTCATTCTTAATAAAACAGAGATAACAATATGTTAAACAAATATTTTGATCTTAGAAACCCACGGTTAATAAAGTTAATCAGTAACTTAAATAGGTGACGACATGTTACAAACGATAGCTTTAACGCTTCTCATGCTTCGTAATTCCAATAATAATTAGCAATCGTAACAAAGCAAAGCGTTGTTCAGACACGTTTTTTCCCTCGTGATAACGTGTTAAATGTAATTTCTATGTAACACAGATTGTTAAGTTTACTGTAATGCCAATTTGCCATACAATCAATGCCTTCTTCGCATGGTTTTATCCAACCTTTCTGACGTATTTTACATGATTATGTTAATTCTGGATAAGTGCTTTAAGATGCTTCAGATTAAAGATTTAAATACATCGTTGCAACTTAAAACACGCAGACATAATACATGATAGATTTCCAACTTAAAAAGTTATTATATTGGCGTTTTTAAAAATACTAGCTATTGCCCGCGACTCTGTCCGCACATTCTTAAAAAAAACTTATTTAGTATCCTATGTGTTCTTCCAGACTATGTTCTATATGTATGCCAAATTTTATCTAGATCCATTCAGCCGTTCAAGAATTACCTTTAATCAAACATCTATCCATCTAAACATTCGCATTTATATTAGTAAGATTAAAATGAGAATAATAACAATATTTACAGAATTTGTTATAGTTTCTATATTTCTTACGATATAACTATATACTTTTGGTTGTATACTTAGTGATGTACTCATTTTGTGTTCAATGTATACATAGACAAAATGCGTGCTTTTTAATTTAAAATTTGTTGAAGTAATCTTTTTAAAACTAACGCTTAGAAGTGTATTCAACCTCCGTATATCAAAATTTTAAATGTAGGCATCCGTTGTGTGCAGCTGAAGTGGTGTCAAGATATGTATATGTTCAAAAACACTCAGAATGACTTAAAAAGGCATTTAAATACTTTCGGCATAGCAAAAGCTCCGTAAAATATATCTAAAAACCTTTTAAAGAGAATTTTCATTACATTCTTATTTTCATTACATAATTATTTTTGATTTTTGCTCGTAATTGGTTGAGAATCGAAAAATTTTGATGATGCATCAACGCGTTTTGTCAACACTTAAAAGCTTTAAGAGAGCTGAAATTATGAACTAACGAGGAGATATTTCCACACCTTTAAAATAAAAAAAAAAATGAATTCGCAGCTGTAATTAAAGATGCGTTAGATGAAGATAATTAAGTAAATTAAGGAAAATCTTCAGAATAAAGTCGAGTTTATTGGTTATTTTTTCCACAGTTGTGGGTCCGTCGGTCTCACACTTAAATATATTATCCTGGAGGAAGTTTCCTGGGACAGGGAATCGTTGGAGCGGGTCGTTATGATCCAATTAAATTGTAATTTTAGAAAATTAAGGAATTTTGTTTTTTTTTCTTAATTTTTACATCGATGTAGACCCAATTATGTCTCACATTTGATCTGATTTTTCGTTTATTTTTAGCTTCAGTTTAATTACATTATATTTTATCTATAGCTGGATTATAAATTAAACTAAGGTCCAAAAACTTAGTTGTATAGGTCTTGAAAAATATGTTTCTTTCTATATTTACGTTACTACAAAGTCTCTTTTCATTAAATATTATAATTAAATGTAAGTCAACTTTTCCATTACAATTATTTTTCTGCCAAAATTGCTAATAGCGACTCTATTCCACTTTCTGTGCGTAACAACTGTAATAAATACTGTACAATTAGAGGTTATAAAACGTTCTCCGTTGTCGGTTAGCGTTAAATGGAGATCGACAAAAACCTACGTGGCGCAGCGCTAACTCTACACACTGCTCTTTTCATATAAATACTTTAAATATTATATAATTTTATCAAATATATTATGTAGCATATAAATCATAGAGTCATGAATATTCTTTTACAAATTAAAAACCCATCAATTAAAAAAACAGATTGCGAATTTTTCTTTAATATTTCAATATTTTATATAAAAAACTTTTTAACTTTAATAAATTTCCTAAAAGTAACCTGCTAAATTCATATCGTCCAACACGATTTGTCTTCATAAAAAAACACAAGAGACATGAATTACGTCACAGTATCTGCATTTTCTGTTCCGTTGTTATTCTGTTCACAAATAAATTATAGCGTGGATCGCACAGTGGCCGTGAGCTCAGTGCTCTGTGTTCGGTCTCTGTGCTATGTGCGGCGACAGATCGCACCAATTTGAATATTAATAGCGGCAACGGCGCGTGAAAACTGACGCTGCGGTAGCACAATGATATGCATTACTAGATGTGACTATATGACGACGACTTATAATTGAACTATAGTTGACTTAAGATTAAAGGGCATTATTAAACACCACGTCCGCCCGGTACAGCCCCACCTCGCGATCGCCGCAGCGTTTACTCGTCGCCGCCTCGACACCTCGGTTGAAAGCGCGTGGTTGGCGAGGCATCCATTCGCCACCACACCGACTAGGGCGTCGTGAGTGGATGGCTCGTCATCGCCTCATGAAAAGTAACATTAAATCACTCCTGAGCGACCACACTTACACAAATTTGTTTGAAGATGCTCAAAATATTTTCCAAACAACAAGTAAAGTACTAAAACGTAAACCACATCCAGGATAGCGTTTCTATATATCGGTTGTAACCGTCGATGCGCGACCAGGCCATATGACCGCGCCCTCGGGCCATTGATGGCCGATGCATAAATCAAACGCCAATAAATAAATATCACTCGAAATCGCTTCCTGTGCCTAATGCTCGTATAATTTAACATCCGACGCCCGATGCCGCGCCCCGCGACACATGATGTTACTAAACACCGACACTTGGCATACGACATTATTAAATTGACTAATACAAAAAAGAAGACACAAATGAAAATTCTTTCCTTTTAAAAGTTCCAAAATAATTTACGATATCGTTTTGAATTTTAAATACCATCTGGTTGAAAATAATTCAAGATCCTTAGGAAACTAAGATTCTGATTTCCACTTTTTCTTTTTGTTTTAGGTTCAAAAGCTTCGTATAATGATATTTGTCGACCTTGATACTAGCGGCCAGTGTGCAGGGAACAGTAGCGACGCGTGAACTCGCATTGTCCAACAACCCTGACGCCGCACCTTACCTCGCTTCGCCTCACTACTGATTCATTCATTCATCGTCTAGGCACGTATTCTTGTACTATTATAAATTAGAGTCTATTGATGTATTGTTGGATGGATGTTTGTTTAAAGGTATCTCCAGAGCGACTTAACAGATCTCGATTAAATTGTCTCACATCTAAAGAATAGTCTGGAAGAACATATATAGGCTACTAATACCGCGCGGACGGAGTTGCGGGCGACCGCTAGTATTCTTTATAATTCTTTGTTGTTAGGGTATATCGTCTTGTAAACATCAAGAGCAACAAGTTCATGTGGTTCGCAAATTAACTTCTTTAACGTTAACACTCTTAGACTTCGAACAATTACCATGAAGGAAAAACAGGAAGAAAGCTTATTAAATAACTTAAGGATTAAAGGGAACAAAAAGAGAAAAGGACAAATATAAGTAAACAATATTATATCAAAGTAAACAGAGGGATTTACGTATAAACTCTCCCTCCTGTAGATATTTAATTTTGATACGTAAAGCGGCGTGACGGTTCGGCGGCGAGCGGCGGCGGTCGGCGGTCGAATAAATCTTATCCGGCATCAGCTAGCCAATATCACCGCGAAATATTAGCTATGGCGAATTCGGACAATAAGGACATGTCCACTTTATCACAAAGTACATAACCACAACTTATAAGATACCATAAAATTATACGGTTAGAGTCCAAATTCCATTGCAAAAATAATTCTTTATTACAAAACACGATAAAGAAAATTATATCTTATTTCTGTCGAATTTGAGTACGTTATTTGAACATTTCTTAAAATGCCAAGAAATAAAGAAATCATCTATCCATATTCAAAGAAATTCTAACTTTATTGCGATACGTTAGAATTGAATTTCGCAAGTCAAATATTTCGAAGGAAGCTTGACCGATCTCCAGGGATTCGTATGGGGTATTTAGTCACGGTTTTATTTGAATTCGCTAGAATTTGCCGCGACAAATATTTGGACATTTATTGCATCGAGCACTGGTGTCGAATAATAAACATTTGGATACAATACAATTCGATACGGCCAACGTGTGGCTTTGTACAAACTACTTGGGACGGGACGTGAGCAATGGGGCAACTAAAGTACAAGATTGCATTCATATTTGTAATAAAAGTATTTTTACTTATTCGCTGATATGTATTTTAGAGTAACGCATCTTTTAATCAACTATTGGTAAGCAATTATGTCTTATCCATCGCTAGTGTTATTTGGTCTTTACGTTGGCAGGAGTTTGATAAATAATGGCTAAGGTCTACCGTAAGAATGTAAAAGGAAAGGCAAAGCTCTTATAAGGTTCAATCGTAGGTGTCCAGTGCGGTGAGTGAGTGACAATTTTATCGCTTCGGCCGCGTCGCCGTCGGCCGTCAGTCGCGTAGAGGTAAAAAATCGAACAAAACAGTGACAATTGGTGCATATCCCCGACGAATTATCCCCCTTCGGCGCCTTTGTCCAATTGAAGCTTCCTTTATTTCGCCGTTTTTGCCGTTTTTATTCCATTCTCATTTGGTTATTTATCTTGTCTTTTTTCTTCACAGACAATGAGGTTGCCGCTTGAGGCTCATTATATCGCCGCTGGTTTAGCACGCGACCCGATACTAAATCTCCCTCGGAATTCTAGCGAATTATCCGACGAAACAGTCAGCCGAAGTTTTTTTTCTCTCGGGTGATCGATTGGAGTAAAAATTACTTTCCGTTTTTGTGAGAGACGGTGAACGGTGACGTCCCATTGATTCACTCCGACTCTGTGAGGGATCGAGTACGGACGGATTGACTTTTTTAAATTCAAAGATAAGATAAATCTGTGCTTGTATTAACATACGACACGGAATGTACTCCTGTGTCATTAATTTTATGTGTATCGTGTCTGGTAATCTGGTGCACTTCGGTAGCTCGTCGCTTCTCAGGAACTGTCGGAAATAGATCGGCCCACCCGTTCCGACGATCTGTTAATAACTGTTGTACAGACTAGTTTCACTTTAATCCAGTATTTATTCTCTTAATTACTCTATGCTAACCAAGAACTATTAAATAAAATTAGTTTTTGATAATTTAATTATCACAAAACAGAAACCACCAGAGTTTATCATTACAGCAAAGGTTATCGACCCCAATTTTGACTTAATATCGGACACAAAATTTATAATGGCCGTAAAGTGACCTTGTGAATGTTATGAATGACGAAATCATGTAAAATATGTATGCTTAATGCAAACTTTACTGGTCTTTAACGCTAATTGCGTGTCAAATATTCCCAAAGACGTGTAAGATGCATAATGCATGGCGTCAATTGTGTGTGGGCCTGACAGGATGTCTCACGAAATTACCCGCCGATTAGTTTCCCAGTAAAACGGATTCGTATGCAATGTAACACCGAATTCCTTCGCGAGAACAATTGGGATTGAACCGAAACGAAACAGAAAAAATGACGGATGCAATTTGTTAGATTCGTATCGTGACTGCAATTATTACATTACCCGAATTGTTGGTGTTTTTTGATACCGTCTCGGTGTTTCTTAAGTTGAGTAAATCAAAAATTTACCGTGCGTTTCTGATACCAATACCTCTTTATAAATCGTGTCGTTATCTTTGATAACACAGAGACAGCAATATGTTTTAAACGGAGGATGTTCAGATTATAATTTTAATATAACAATTATAAAAAGGGAAAATATTTTCGTATAAATTCTACATAATTGATTGGAAAAATTTATATCAATAATGAAAGCATTAATATTAGCAGCTCTTTTTTGGACAAAACGCAGTAGTTTTGGTAGATTGTGTGAGTATATTTCGCTACAAATCATGAGTAATGCCATAGAGACGTTAGCGTCTCCAGGGCGCGCCTTGCGACCGATCTTTAATTTTACGTGTCATTAGCCCTGACCGCGAGCCACCCTCCGTACGGGATGACACAACATTAGTGGCAGCATTGCCCGCGTCGAAAATACACAAAAAATCTAACAAGACAGTACGCTATGGTAAATATAAAATTCTAAGCCAGCCGATTCTCGATCCCGTGAAAACGTCCAAAAATTCATAAGTTTTTGTCCCTTTTTGCGAAAATGGACGAAAAATACTTCATATTTTTTCTCGTACCCGCACAATTGGCCGGGATCCGTATGAAATGGGATAAAAGCGTAACATACGATGACTTTCCTGTTATATTCAGAGGGACTTTTGTTGACCGCTCGCGTTCCGTCGACCCCGTCGCGCAATAACCTCTCGAAATCAACAAATCGCTCCGCCACGGCGACGGTTATTATTCACAGCGAGCACGTTGCTTCTAATATTCATGTCTATTCTCAAAAATCGTACAGAAATAGAAATATTATTTAATTAATGATAATAATAACAAATATAAAGAAAAAGTTAGTTTAGTTAGTAATCGATCACCTGGGACAATCTTTAGTTTGGACGCTATCCGGCATTTCTTCCTTATCAAGTTGCAAAATTACTCGCAACCTAGATTCTTAGGATCGGTGGCGAAACTAATTGCCCATTGGTATTAATTAATCATGCAGATTACTTATTACGGATGCTGTAGACGTAAGAGTGGCTTTATCAACACAAGCAAACACGCGTGAAATACACAAAGTATGTACCATATATAGTAATTTACAATTATCAATGTTCTAGCGTTCGATACACAAAAAATAGTTCTTGAAACTTTATACTTGATGTTTTCGGTTTGGTTCGCTGCTTTACATAAAAGGAAGTCAATTAACGATAGTATTTACATATGTCTAAATACAAGATTCGATATATACAGTCGACCCTGGATAAACGAGAGTCTAAGGGACCGCGACGTTTTTCTCGCTTATGGAAGTTTCCCTATAACCTGAGATTTTCGCTTATGGAGGTTGTTCGTCGGGACCGGACACTCGCTTATAGACGTTTCTCGCTTATCAAAATTCGACTGTATTTATACTTGAAAATAAGTAAATTCAAACTTAATAGTTAAACTTTATCTTATTTCTTAGTTAAGTTACAAAAGCTCACTTGACCCGCTACCGAGCATCTGTCTTCATTGTCTCAAGTGATTTGTGACTACGCGGCACCTTCTGTGAGACAAGGATGCAAATAATCCACCGCTCTAGATAGACAGAGATAAAACACCCAGTGTTGATCCTAACAATTAATTATAATGGACCACATCGCCTATGGGATGTCGGATCGTTTTTTCCATTTTTATTCTCTCACGGATTCGGAATTCTTGAAATAACATTTCACGCCGAATCCGTAACGAACATCTGACTTGTTGTTTATCTTTTTATATTTCTTTAATTAGTCCGAGAAAATGTGAAGTTAATTGATTTTTTTTGTTTCAAACTGCTATATGTGATTTAGGCTAGCTTACAAACTCAGTAGACAGTAGTATTATTAGGATTAATCTACACTAAGGGTTGATTTAAATAAATCTGAGTTCTTTTGTAAGACTGGTATGGTTACTCTAACGAATCTTATAACAATACTTAACTTCTTTCGTGTTCACTAGATCATGATAATCCAGTCCCTGGAACTGCAAGGTAAGAGTACTTCACACGTGCGCGATAATCGTTGCGATTACGCAGCGCCACAGCTCGTCGTCAACGAAGTTGACTGGACACATGCGTCATACAATTCTAGCGATTTGCGACTCAGCTCAGAGAATTTTGATTCTATCTATTTAATTATTCAAACTTTCGTGAGACATTATACTAAACTGATATATAAACACGGCTAAACACTCACGTATTTTCGTCCAGTGGCGGCACCGACTAGTTTCGAGCCCATCGGGGGCCCTTCATCAGTGAGCGACGGGCCGCGTCCGCGAAATAATACCAGTACCACTCATCCTGATATGTATCAGTTTTGATTCTATCTAGTTTAAAATGAAGGTATAGATGTTTTCATGTGCATTGGTCGGCGTTGAGGTTCATTCTGTTTACATCTTGATTTGGTAAAAGCAAAATTCGTAAAGTTATCAACGTTTGACAAATACGAATACTAGAAAAAAAATTAATCTCCTATTTTACTATCTATCTAATTAAACTTAATAAAGCTGACTGAATAAGATTTTTAAGAATTACAGAAAAACTTCGACATTTGTTTCGAACATTCTCCCTCCCTACGGCTACTTGATCTCCTTGATTCTAGAAAATTCGTTCTTTTATTTTCAGATCTTACTATCATAGGGTAACTGTAGATAAACTGTGCGGCTAAGATAATGTGGTAAAACATCCATTACACACCCAAAACTCGTCTTCGTATGAATGAACTCCAAACCCGTTCCAAATCTTTGCAGTTAATCAACGAAACTGGACATTTCTTATAGTTTCACACGGGGGAATAACAGTGAGGCCGCATAGTGAACTGAAATACTGCTAATTGAACACTCATTTACTGTTGTTCTAGGCCTGAAAATTTACAGATTCAGATTTAAACCAAAAATCTCATACTTCGAGGTCGACACAATTAGAAAATCGTAACAGGTCTAGACAGAATAACCTTAGCTATATCGCTAAAGTAAAAAATATATGACAATTGACAATAATTGTTGATTTGACAAGTATTTATCGTTGTTCTAAATTTCATAAATTACATTTTTGGGTTTTATTCTCAGTTACTACGGTACCCTCGTGTGAAACTAACATTACATCGTACTTATCAAACATCTGCGTGTTTTCGCGTTGCACCTAATTCAAAATTATCATTCGCCCAGTCGCAAACGAAAAACTAGTTTAGCATACAAATATTGTAAGTGGGCGAAAAGCTCGCTTGAGATCTGATAGGAGGACGCAATTACGTACGTGTCACCTCGGCAACGCGTTAGATAACATCAAGACGTAGCCTTAGTGTTGGGAGCGCCTCCAATTATTGTTGCCTCAACATCTTGTATCTTGTTATACCACGATTGTACACAAAATAGACTTTTATGTTCTTTATACTCGTCACGGCTCTGATTAGTGACAAGATTGTGTTTTGTCTGGGACGAAGTTACACCTTTAGTTTTAACTTTATCGTAAACTTTTATTAGATTATGAAAATGTACAAAAAAGATTCTTGCATAAGATATTCTCAAAGTTGTATATATTTGTTTTAAGATATGTAAACAATTTGTCAGACAAAATTTGTTTACTAACATATATGCTAACTCGATTATGAACATAAAAGACAAACTTAATTCGTTCATTACAAATGGCGAAATAAAACAATTTCTTCAATAGATTTATCTATATATTTTAATGAATAATTCTCAATTACAGCTGTCAAATTTACAGTCTCTCTTTCGAATACAAGCAACAATTTTGTTCGATTCCCTCGAGAACTAATGACGAATTTTTCGAAACTCCATTTTAAACAATCCAAAATGAATAATTTAATGTTATCGAAAAGAAACAAAAAATATTGTAATGTTATTAATTTAAATCTATTTCAAGTTAAACTTTTTAATGTGCTTAAATTTAATGAATTCCATGGAAAATTATATTCATTTGTAATTATATATTTTGTATTTTAACTACATATTTATCAACTATATATTACAAACTTTTAACTTAAAGTTACATTTTTTTTTTATCAATCGCTTTTTTGCTCGGGTGTGTTTATTTGTTGCATTCGTTAAACAAAAATGTTTTATTTTTTTTTATAATTTAACAATTAAAGATTTAACCATTATAATTTTTTAAAACTAAAATAAGTTTTTTTTTAATTTAAATAAATTATCGAATGCAGAAAGTAAACTCACCCATACCTCATCACAATTGACAAAACATATTTTCAAAATATGTCTATTAGTTAAACACATACATATATAAACCTTACAAATTGTATTTACAAAGAAAGCGATTATTTATTTAATATTAATCTATGAAAGTGGGAAATTAAATAATTTCGTCCGGCGGAATGAGTACGATGACGTCATCAACACGTCACAGGTGACGTCATGAGTCTTACAATCTGCTTAAAATTTATAATGCCCTTTGGAATTTAGGAATTAAACAAATTACATTAATTTTTTACGATAACTATAATTATAACCTAACATGTTACGTGCTCGAAAAAAAAAGGTTAAAATATGAGTTTCTCGGATAAATTAAGAGTAAACATTAAAACTTTATCATCTAATGAATTAAATTGAATAAAAATTCGAAAAGTGTAACTTTATGGTGACATTTTTTTTATCATAAGGTGGCAAACGAGCGAGCAGCCACCTGAAATCGCTGAAATACCGAAGTGACCGTTGCCCATAGACATAGGCAATTGCATAGATATACAAAATATGCGTATGTCTATATATTGTGTGAATATGTGTGTTTGAGTTGTCAAACAAGTAGCTGAAATCACCAAAACACGTCCGTTTTTGTTTTCGCTAGATGCATCTTTTTGGAACGAAAGCAAAAACATCGTATTTTTCGGTTCACTAGATCAATGCCAGAGACTTCCGAATTTATATTATAGTATAAGATTAGATTGTTAATTTATAAAGTTGTGTGCTAAATATGACGTCATCCATTATTCCCAGTTCGCCGGACAGTAAATCCTATTGCTATTGTGGAGAACCTAAGGTGATACTATTGTGTCATTCAATGCTAAGTGTAAGTCACGTGGGTGATCAAAAGTGCCCGTCCACTGCACGGCGCTCAACAGTATTTGTTGAGGATACAAATACTGCTCTATTGCAGAGGAATAAAGACCATTTTGCAATGGACGGGCGTTTTGGTGTTTCTATATCATCCATTTAATAAATCTTAAAATAATTGCTCAAGCCCTAATACCATGCGATTTATGTAAACCAAAATAAACATCAAGCTTACATTTGGATCGACTTTAAATAGTATTATATATATGTAAATAATATAAATTTTTATCACAATTTGACAACAGAGAGCTCAAACGTTTGGTTGATATAGAAGCACGGCATGTGCACCGG